AGGAAAAGTAAGTCACATTCAGACTAGACCTACATATTTCCCATCTATACCAGTTCCAGTGTTGCTAAGACAGAAGAGGTAGATTCTGTTTAATTAAACTTGGCAGATGGTTTACAGCCAGTAAGTAAAATTGTTTAGTAAGTCTGCTTATGTAAAGTAACTGGAACAATGGCCAACATAGCAGAATGTACACCAGAAACTATTCCCCCAGCTTCACGGGAAATTACCATACAACGGTCAAAGTGAGAACTCAAAATTCAAGTTCTAATTTTGGCCTCACAACTAACCATGACAAAATTAAGCTCTAGCCTCATCTGTAACATGGAATTACTAACAGGACCTATTGAAACCTGTCTTAATGGTTACATGAGGGCTGAGGGGGCCTGCTCAGTGGTAGAGCATGTGCTTAGGTTACATCAAGCCCTGGAGTTTGATCCCTAGCAATACTAACTGATAAATTAATTCATAATTTAAAATAATTCAGAAAAACTCAGAAATTAGTATGGATTGAAAAAAACAGGTACATGAAATAACAGCTATCATTTAATGGATACCTAAGTAAAATACACTTGCTGAATATAGTATGAAAAACACTGCAGTAGCCCTCTTTTTTTTTTTTTTTGAGCCAAGGTCTCCCTGTGGCCCCAGCTAGTCTGGAACTCAGTATGTAGACCAGGCTGGCCTGAGATCCGCCTGCTTCCACCTCCTGAGTGCTAGGATCAAAGGCATGCACCACTATGCCCAGTATATTTTTTCAGTCTGTCTAGCTCAGGCTTGTCTTGAACTCAAAACAATCCTCCAACCTCAGCTTCCCAAGTGCCTACACCACAATTCTAAAGGAAAAGTACACTACAGTGTACTTCTAATATAAAATCCCAAAGAGCAATTTTTAAAAATGTAGTGGGGTTCCTGAGGGAACTCTTCAGGGGCTAATTTAGGAACCGAATTACAGAAATAAAAATTCTTAATTTTAGGGCAGCAAAGCTACTATGTACCTGTTTGCTCCCTGAAGTACTTTTTTTAAGGTTCTAGGGATAAAAGTCAGAGTATGCTAGGCAACTGCTACTCCACAGAACTGCACCCCACCCCAGAGTGCCTTCTACTGAAACTATTACATGAGTAATCCAATGTCTGCTTCCTTCCTTAGCTCATAAATGATAAAGAATTACATATTCCTTTTCAAGAATTTGTTTTGCCTCATACATGAATATGTACCACATGTATGCCTGGTACCTGTGGAGGTCAGAAGAGGGCACTAGATCCCCTGGAACTGGAGTTTCAGGTGGTTGTGAGCCACCACGCAGATGCTGGGAACTGAACCAGGGTCTTCTGCAAGAGTAGCAAGTGCTCTTATTGCTAAGCCATCTCTCCAGTACTGAGAATTACATTTTCAAAGTCCAGTGCATAGAAAACAGGAACCCCTAGTTTTCATGTATTTAAATAGTTTTCAGATTTCATGGTGACAACTTTGGTACACCTTAAAGCCCCACAGGATCACATCTCACCCTGAGCCATTCAGTGGTGCTCCCCTCTTAGATACCACCTGCTCCTTTCCTCCCTTCCCACAGTCTTACAGTTGTTGGGAACAAGAGTCTTTTACCATTGTTTGGATCTTTTGCCTCTTCCTCTCCAACTCACATCCTTAAATGCAGTTTTGTTTCCTGCACTTAAGATTTCTACAGATATTCCTCAAATCATTCCAACATTTCTCACTATTCTCTGCCAATACTGTAAGAGACTGTAGAATAGCTGGTGTGGTGGCACAAGCCTGTAATCCAAGCATTCAGGAATAGAAGCAAGAGGATCCTGAGTTTGAAGTCAGCTTGGACTTCACAGTAAGATTCAGACTATACAGCAATACTAAAACTTTAATGCCCTATCATTTCTGAATTTTCTAACTTCACAATCACCTATGACTCAGGGGAATGGAACACGAGACATGACTAGATTGTGTCTACCCACTATTCACTGGAAACCTATAGTTTCTTTTTCTTTCCTAATGTCACACAGTCCTATGCAGTAACATTTTAACCTCAGTTAATAAGCTTACTTCAGCGTTCACACTTTTACACTCCACGTTAAGTTACTAGGTGTAAGAACAGGGAGAGTTTGAAGATATTATGCTTCTTTTCAAAAACATTTGTTGACTTTATGAGTTGAGGCAGGAGTTATGGTCTTCAACTGATTTTAGACACCACCACTGTTTCTAGTATGTGTATTGTGTGTGTCTATGTAGTGCTGGGGATCAGAAGCGGGGCCTTGCACATGCTAGACAACTGCTTTACCACTGAGCTACATCCTCAGCCCAGAGGATTTTCCTTAAAGATTACCAACACTGTCCTCCAGGTGACACTGCTGGATTAAGGAACATCATTATAGGCAGGCAATATGATTAGAAAGCCATTTAAATTAAGAAAGAAATAGAAACAAGTTAGAAGGCAAAGACAAAAACTGACTTGTTACTAACACCAAAATTCCTAGTTTTATTCTTCAGACAATCTGAAGCCAGGAGATTTAAGTTTCAAGGTCAGAGTCACAGCATCTGATCATCCCATCAAGCCTAATACCCCGCTCCACGCTCTCTACAACAGTATATTTACCTGCCTTCCCACTGGGCTGAAGAAAGCCCACATAAACCCAGAGGGAAGCTAGGCATGATGGTATACACCTGTGATCCCAGCATCTAGCAGGTAAAGGCAGAAGGACCTGGAGTTCAAGACCAGCCTTGTCTACATTAGTGCATTTGAGACCAGCCTAGGATACATGAGACCCTATCTAAAAGAAGCCAACAACAACAAAAAACATAATACTAGAATTCACTCTTCCTAAAAGCTCTAAGGTTTATATTATTGAAGAATGTGTAGCCCCATTAACATGAAGAATTTCTTCTGCAAACTCTAACTGCAAAATGAGATTGTTCTCCATTTACCAGTAAATACACTCCACTAATTTAGATCATAGTTCCCATCCCACCCCAATCTTATTTTTTTTAACAAGCGTTAACTTGGAATGGTTTATCACAAATCTGATACAGAGTTTAAATTTTTCAGTGCTGGTTTTTCCAACTGATGAATCATTTCAAACATGATTATAAATTTCCAATATACTCAAGGGTTCACCAGTTTGCAAAATGTTACCTTAATGCCTCTGAGAACATCTGTGGACAAAGGTGGGGAACTGCAAAAAAAATACATTTTTACAGCTCACTTATGAAAGTCAGACTGCCTCTTTTCTTTAACCCCCCTCTGCTCAAGCTGTATTTTGTTCTAGTAACATCTCTTCATTCTTTCCTTACTTTCCATCTCAACTCCCTTGGCCTTCTGATAGCTACAGATATCAGACAGCCATTTTCCCTTCACCTCAATTTATCCTCCTCTAAGCCTCATCCCTTCTCTTCAACATCTGTATTTCTCAAAGGGCTCCCAACACTGCAGCCTTCAATCACTGCTCACAGGGCCAGCAAAGGCCTCACCCAACTGTCCTGAGGCCTCATGGTTCTTGCATAACCAGAACCATTCAGTGACTTGCCATGTGGATAGATGTGGCTTTTTTCTAAGGGAAATTAAACTTTAGGGTCCTTTCCAAGGGACTTTAGGAATCTCAGGCCTGTTTCCAAAAATCTGTTAGAGTCCCCAGAATTGTGGAAATTGGGATCACCAATGAATTTAGCACAGCTGCTGTGCAAACTCACCTCATTGAACATGTGGCAGGACACTAGAAAAAAGACTGCTTCATTTTCGCTCTCACCTCGAGAATCTTAAATGTTGACCTCAATTCTGTATTTCATTTAATATCAAAGTCAGTTTTCCAAAGGGGGGGACCCTTGGACTTGTTGGGGTTTTTTTTGTCTTTTTGAGACAGGGTCTTCCTGTAGCTCCAGCTGCCCTGGAACTCACTATGGGACCAGGCTGGCCTCGAACTCACAAAGATCCGCCTGCCTCCGCCTCCCAAGTGCTGGGATTAAAAGCGTGTACCACCACACCCAGCGGACTTGTAATTTTTAAGAAATTCCTTCAAAGGCTGGCCATGGGACATATAAGCTACAAACCAAGGCAGTAATTCTCAAACTTAAACCAGCTAAAAGCTGCCCAAGATCTGGTTAAAATGCTTATCTGAGTGTCACCGCCAAAATATTTGAGTAATTAGGAGATCTAAGGTGGAATGCAAGGCGACCCTCCCAGGTCCCAGAAGTTACCCCTAGACTAACAAAGCAGTTGGCCAGTAGTACCACCGTGACCTTGACACAACGAGAAGATTCGTCCTAGGAGTACGCGAGGAGACAAGTCTACAAGGACTGGGCGACCAGAACTCACACGCAGGTAGTGTCTAATCCACCGTATTTGCTAGGGTGTGGCTGGGCACTGCTCCACCGGAAATCGGGCTGCAGAATCCATCTACGCGGGTCTCGGGGCTGCAAAAGCACCCAGGTTCGCTGCATTTACACCCCAGGCAGACATGCTGCATCGAACCCGGGGCTACAGCGTCGGGACCCGCACCCTCCTCCACGTCCAGGACGGAAGGAAGCGGGTCTGCGCACACAAAGCCGGCCCGAGGCGTGCAAAGGTGGACGAGAACCCATCCCGCCAGCGGAGTAAAACACGTCGGTTCTGCACCAGCTTCGGGTCGGGGCAGAGAAAACCAGAGACAGGCTCGGCTAACGGATGCGTCTTTATTAGCAGTTGGTGCACGATGGAGGGGGTCGCGAGCCCCCGGGGCCAGTGGACCAGTGTGGAGGCTGGAACGTGGCTTCTCGCCTTTCCTCGGGCACCCCCCTCCCCCACCGATGCTCCTACCGGAGCTCCAGCAGGGACGAGGCAACCCCTGCCCGGTATTCCCCAAGGGGCTGCCCGGGGAGACCCCGCCCCGGCCGGGCCTCAGGAAATGGCGCGAGCCGGGCAGCGGGCGGCGCCCAGCCACAGCGCGCGCGCTCGGAGGGAGCCGCCCGCCGCGCCCCGCCGCCCCGGCCCAGCATCAGGTCCCCTGGCTCCCGGCGCGCTCACCGCCTTCATGGCGGAGGCCATGTCGTCGTAGCGCTCCGCCTGCTCGGCCAGCCGCGCCCGCTGCAGCAGCTGCTCTCGGTCCCCCATGTCGCTGGCGTCTCGGCCCCGCACCGCTGGCTCGTTCGCCCGCCGGTCCGCTTCCCGGTCGCTTCGGAGGCCGCCGCCGCGCACGCGCACTGGCTCGCCGGCTGGCGGGAGGCTGCAAGGCAGACGGCGCGACCGCTCGCGCCCTCTCGCTGACTGGCTCCACGCGCTGTGGCTAACGCCGCGGACGCCGCGGAGGGAGGACAGGCGGCACGGTTGAGGGGGGCGCGGGCGGGGGGCGGACTCGACCACGCCTGCGCAGTGGGAGCAGCCAGGCGGCAGAGGCGGGAGTGGAAGGGGGAAGGGCGGGCCGGCCCCAACGGTCTTTTTTAAGGTGACGTCACCTACTATAAATAGCAGCGGCAACCGCCCCGCGGGAGCAGCGCAGGCGCATTTGGAGTGCTGCAGTTTACCACCGCAAAGTTGGAGGTTGGGGAGACCCGTGGTGGACAGTGCTCTGCCGGAGGCCTGGGCGCGGTGCTGGTGGCTTCACAGGCCGCGCATTGTCTTGGCCCAGAACTGGGTTGGGCAGGATTCGGCAACCAAGTGACCCCATGTGTGGAGAAGTCGGGGTACGGCGTTCCCGGTGGTTCCGCCCAATTGGGTGGTGCGGCCACACCCAGCATCTAAATCGTACCCTTGGGGGACAGGTCGACAGCCCTACTAGCATCCTCCAGACCTACCAGCAGCTGGCCCCACACTGAGCCTTTGCTGGCATTACCCTGTTTAATACAACCCACTCATGGGGCACAGCAGGTTCCCCAGTTTACAAAGCCAAAACGCAAATCCAAGCATGGGCCACCGCTCTCATAATTCTGGGAGAATGGAAAGTTGGAGGTCTGCCTGGGCTCCATGCAAGTTCAACACCAGCCTAGTCAACTAAGGGAGACATTATTTCGAATTTTCTAAAGGGAGTTGGGGATTGTAGCTCAGTGGTATAGTGTTTCCCTAGCATGAATGGGAGCTTGAGTTCATCTCCAGTGGGGGAAGGAGAGCAAAAATGGAAAGAAAGTTCAGTGATTTACTCAAGGTTACACATCCTGTATGTGGAGGGACCAAAAGCTGAGTTCAGTATCTGACTGGACTTAACTCCTCTGGCAAGGAGGAGGAGGAAACGCCTGGTCACTAAACCCCTCCCTGTCATTCTGTGCTGAGGGTCCCTGGGCTGGGCCTCAGGACAAGCTAAGATAACCTCAATGACGAAAACAGTCTAAGTGAACTACAACACCCCCATGTCAGCACAAGAGAAGGGGCCTTGGGCTCCCTGAGGTTGTGTGTGTGTTGTGTGTAAAACTTAAAAATTTTAGTCATTTGGGGGGGAGCAGTGAGCATGGAGATGTCCAGTCATCCGCCTCATACCTCACACAGACCAGTTAGCATAACTTCTTGCACTGCTTGTGTCTCAGGGTAAGCCAATCTCTAGAACTGTCTTTTTTTTTAATTTTTAATTATATTTGGGGGGGGGCATGAGGACAACTTTGGGAAGTATGTTCTCTCCTTCCACCACATGAGTCCCAAATACATGGAACTCAGGTCTTCAGGGTTGGCTGCAAATGCCTTTACCCACTGAGCCATCTCCTTGGCCCCTTGTTTTGTGAGGATTTTTCATTTGCGGGTTTTGTTGTTTTGTGATTATTTTTTAATACAAGTTCTCTTGCTTTGCCAGGAACTCTCCAATTAGACTAGGTTGGCTGGTCACTGAACCTTTGCGGGAGCGAGGAAGACAAGGTATTAGGGTACAACGTAGACAAAGACTTAGCAGTAAGAAAGCAAAATCTGGAAACACTACAGTCTCAGCTAACTTTACTTCCCACTGTTGGATCTATCTTCTCATTCTTCCCAGCTTTTGTTTTTATTCTTCAAGGTCCAGGGCAGAGGCTGTATCTTACTTCTGGAGATACCAAGGTATGGAGCATGCAGTAGATGTGCAATAAAAATCTCAGTTAACTGGAGCTGTAGAGGTAGCTCCGTGTAGGGAAAGTGCATGTGCCTGAGTTTGGCTCCCTGGGGCTCAAGGACCAAACAAGCCTAAGTGATAGAGGATTAAACCTCCATGAAGATGGTGTTGCAATGACAGGATGGGGATGGGGATGAGGGCAGCACTGCATGGAAGGGAGCTCCTGACGTCCTTCCATCTCTTAAAGAGTCTACAGCCCTTAAGCCTTTCTGACCATCTTGGAACTGAGATTGGTTGACAAACAGTGAAAACTGAGTGGGCCTGGAGCAGTCTGAATAATGAGTTTTAACATGCACTACAGTTTGAATATTCTTCCCTGAAAAGCATATGTCCAGAGCTTTCTTCCCAGTACAGCAGGGAGGTGGGGCCTGATGGGAAGTGTTTAGGTCATGAAGGCTCCTCCTCTGTGAATGGATTAATAACAGAAAAGGGTTTGGAGAGAACTGTCTTGGACCTCCTTCTGTTTTGTTTTGTTCTTCCATCTCCTGCCAAGGGGTGATGCAGCAAGAAGGCACTCACAAGAAGCCAAGTGTGTGCCTGCTGGTATCAGACCCCTGGGCCTCAGCCCCCAAACTGTGGGGTGAAGACATTTCTTTATAAGTCACCCAGTCTGTGGCTTTGTTATAGCAGTAAAAAATGGCAAGAAACGGCACTTTGGTTCTCAATGCTCTTCTTTCCTTCTCTACTTTTATATTTCCCGATTGTCTTTCCACCTGGCATTGTTGGTTCTGCCTGACTACATCTAGCCAGTCTTCTTGGCTGCCAGAGGCCTCTGTTATCAAAGTCCAAAGACACTTCATAGTCCTCACCTCCCTGGACCTCTTGGCTGCCTGGTCAGCTGATGCCCTTCCCTCTTTGACGGGTCTCTTCTTAGCTTCCATGGCCCTGCACTCTCTAGGCACCCTTCTGCTGCTCTGACCTCTTTTGTCTGTAGTGTGGGCTTGCCTTCCAGCCGGCCCTGAAATGCTGGTGTTCCTCCAGGCTCTTATTGCAGCCCTTCTGTTTCTACTAAGCTTATCTCAGGCTGCCCTCCATGGCCACTCTTAAAGGAAAGTGATTCTTCACCATATTCCCAGCACTGAGTCAAGTGCTCTGTAAAAAAATTTTTTTTCTTCAAGATATTCCTGCAAGGTAGGTACAATTCCTATTTCCAGTTTATAGTTGAGGAAACTGGCTCAGAAATGTTCCATGACTTGAACAAAGTCACATAGCTAGAAACTGGCAGAACCAACACTACTCCACCAGATGGCCTCTGCACTGCCCCTGATGGAAGCTGAGAAGGGATGAGAGGGTTGCTCTCTTTCAGGGTCAAACCCTAAGAAGTTTGTGCAGGTTTCCGAATCTGTAGCCTGCACACTCTTACCAGCACCCTTCCTCTTTGTCGCAGAGAGACAACCAAAAGCTCCAAGCTGCCAACTCCTCAAAGCCTGCACAGCCTGGTAACCTCCGGGGACATACCATCTGCTCCCGGGGCTTCCAGTCCTATCAATAAACATGGCCTTAGAACAACTCAAATAAATCCCCTGAGCAAAACGAAGAGACAAAGGATTCATGCCAAACACCTTGCATTGCTAGGGTTCAGAACTGTCCCTAGCTCAGGAACCACCTCTGTGTCTTCACCTGGTACAAAGTCTCAGGGTACAGAGCAAAAACTCACCTGACCTCCCAGCATGTGTGGGGTGCCCTGGAGGGGAAGGAACATCATTCCAGATGAGTTCAAATCCCACTCTGCCAGTTTACCAGCTGAGTACCCTTGGGCAAGCCACATGGATATAGGTCTAATAACCACCTCTGTTTTTTCATTTTTTTTCTTTTTTTTTATTTGGATTTTTGAAGCAGAGCCTCATTGTGTAGTTCATGTAAGCCTCAAACTCATGGCAGTCCTCCTGTCTCAACCTCCCAAGTGCCGGAATTACAGACATGTGCCACTACACCTGGCTCCACAGGTATTAAGGCTCCTGAAGGGATTCCAGGCATGTGCGATGTATCTGTATGGTGCTGGCTTAGGAAAAGCACCAACCATCCCAGTGCTATCATCCCTTGCTGTGCCCCAGAGCCACGCTAGGATTGCTCCTCAGGCGGGACTGGATTTCCAAAGCATTGCCAGAAACCTCCACTAGAATGCAGTGAATAGGTGACCCAGAAAAGGTGCGTCCTGGTTTTTGGGTCCTTCCCCCTCCCCTTCTCAGATACTCTGGGACACTGGGAACTGCCTGAGAAGTCTGGGCACCAAGGGACACATTACAAAGAAGACCTGGTATTATTCCAAAGAGATGGCAGTCACTTTGTTGGCATGGTTACCATCTTGTGCTTAGCATCACCAAGATAGCCCCCTTCTCAATGCAGGCTGCTTGCTGCCAAGGTGACTCTTCTGAGTCCCCCATCAATGATAATACCACCATCAGTAACAGCATCAACAACAGCTTGTGTTTATCAATCCCTTACACTTGTCTTGGCTGCAAGGTAGTAGCTTTACCCCCAAATATCTCTTGAGTCCCTGCTTGAATAAATATTATTACTCCCAAATATTTCTGAGTACCTGCTTGTATAAATATTATTACCCCTTCCCCATTGTATGGCTAGGGAAACTAAGACCTAAAAAGGTCAGATATTTGCAGTCACTTAAGCCTCCCCCATGTACACTTGCTTTCTGCCATCTACTTTGATCCCTGTGTCCTTTTGCTGATGCCACATCTCCCTGTGCCCCAACTGTGTCTAACACTGGCCTGAGTACACAGGTTTCAGGATCCTCTCAAGCCTCTTTCAAAGCCCGACATGGAAGTAGACCGGCACCCAAGGCAGCTTTTGGCATTTAGAAGTGTGAAAATGTCCTGGTAGCTACAATCTGTGAGCTGGTGGATCTCTGAATCGGTTCACAGCCCCCACTTCTCTCCAGCTTGTTCAGAGGAGCTGGGCTCTGGGCTCTGGAGGAAGGCAAAGTGGCCACCTATGGAACCATAGTGAAAAGGAGGAAGGGCCTTTCGGTTTTGCATGAGGCCAGAGAACTTGTCTTTGTTTTTCTTTAGAGATGAGATCTTGCTATATAATAACCCAGGGTAATGTCAAACTCATTATGTAGCCAAGGCTGGTTTCAAATTTATGGTCTTCTTGGCTTAGCCTCTCAAGTGTAATCATGTTCCAGCTTTATTGAACTTGTGTTTCTCCTTTTTAGCTTTTATTTTTGTAATGTGTTGAGTGTTTGTCTGCATGTATGTATGTGTACCACATGCATACAGTGCTTGTGGAGGCCAGAGGAGGACATCAGATCCCCTGGAGCTGGAGTT